GACTTTCTGAGTTTTTACGTCAGTTTTATTTATTATATGATCTTGTAATCGTTTCAAAATACTAGGGGACTGACAAAATGATAAATATTGTGGAAAATGTTTAGAAACAAGAATCTGTATTGCAATGTGAAATGACAAACCTTATTGTATACTGTAAAAAACTTTATTTTAGCTGGAATTAATTTTCACTGAATAAACTTTTTGGTTGTTTGTATGGAATTTATTTTCACTGATTTTCCATGAGGTGAATGTAAAATATAGGAAAAAAGGTATATTCGCTGGATTTTATTTTCACTGAATCATTCCTTCAGCGAAAATAGTGAAAACAAATTGCAAGCGAAAATAAAGTACTCTACAGTACGTTACTGTTTCGTCTTATCTACATTTTTGTTGAGCGACACAGACTAATAAAGTGAATTCTTTCACTGTCAAAATATTTTTGTGATTTTCCAATGAAATAAAAAATTTTCATTTCAATTTTTCCCACAAAGCATTGCTTTACTTGACGTTATCCTTCAACTCAATTGAATTCAACACTATTAATTTGTTATATTTAGAGAATTTAATGTTTCGTTAGTTTAATATGTAGTACAGGGCTCTTATGGTGCAGTTAATCAGTTCAAGGGAAAGATAAACAACTTTTGATAAAAATATTATGAACAAAACAGCATTACTCAATAAGCTAGAACACCAACACTTAAAATTTTGTTTTGTCACTTCTTGTCCAGTGTCACCTTTTCCAGGTCTTACATTGTACCTACACAATTACTGAACTTGTTCAAGGAAAGAAATAACATTAACACAGCAATGCAAATCCAGTCAAGCGTAAATGCATAAAATTGATGCTTTTACGACAGTTCCAGTTTGAATCAATTCAACATCAAAATCACCTGCTTTTCTGAATACTTATACATTCACAGGATTCTGACTATTAATTTTATAATGAAATTTTATAAGTCATGCAAGCGAGAGTATGGGTGGAGAAGGGGTTTGGAAGAAGGGGTTACTGATAGTTATCATCTCATGTTAATTACAATTACTAATGAATACACTGTACATAGCAAAACCTAATGGCCGCTTGGTTTCAGAGAAAAGCTTTTAACTTTTTTGACCAAATATCTCATAAAGAAACTGTGAGAACTCTACCTTGGCTCGTAGAAGAAGGAATATAAACAGTAATAATACATGTACAATGTACAACTGGAGAGAGTCGTATAATGGAATTAATAATTCAAACATTTCAAACACATATTTTTAGAATGAGCGGAAGAGTGAAGTACAATAAAGTTTAATCTCTTCGCGCATCAGAAATGTTTTTTACCATATTTTACTTTATTAAAAACGCATAATTATCAAAGTGCCCATTAACCTAAATACTGTAAAATACTTTATTTTCGCTTGGAATTTATTTTTGCTATTTTCGCTGAAGGGATGATTCCGTGAAAATCAAATCCAGCGAATATACTTTTTTTTCCTATATTCACATTAAACTCATCAAAAATCAGTGAAAATAAATTCCAAGCAAAACGCCCAAAATCCTTTTCAGCGAAAATTAATTCCAGCAAAAATAAAGTATTCCACAGTATATGAATTTATGCAAGTGAATAATTGCGATGGATGACCTAGATAAATAGAAACAAGAGATTGTTGGGGGAATCATTTGTTTGCACACACCAACAATCTTCCTGATAACTTTCAACATATTCATTCTCAGCTCATCTGTATCTTCTAATTCCTAATAACATAGAGATAAAGTCAATGGATAACTAAATTTAATAAACTAATTTTTCCCAGGAGGCAAATGCAAACATCTTCCTGACAGCACAATTTACTGGATCACAGTGATTTCTGTCAAATCATTTACTTTTTTTCACATCATTTTGCACATATTTATTATAATATTTATAATTGATACAACTCATTAAGATACCTTTTCTGTTTTGTTTTTCCAATCAGTCCTTGTCCTCCTTGTTTTTTATTTTTGTTTTATTATGTTTTCATTTTGTCTTCATTTGTATTTTGTCTTGCCATTTTGTATGTATCTGAAAATTTATTGTATTTTAAAAATCCAGATCCTGAACAGGGTATGATTTTAATAAAGGCAATACTATTATTAATATCATTATTTAGGGGTGTAACAAATATGAATTCAATAATCTTTGATTGTCTACAGGTTTTGATCAAAATGTTTAAAAACTATGGAAATGATTATGTGGGTTTATTTCGTGAAAGGCAACAAAAAGACGTGATTTGCTTCAAATACGCTGTGTCATGCAGAAAATGACAGTAGAAATGGTCCTGACACTTTGGATTGCATTCCAACTCAATTTCAGTAGCTGTATACCGCACAACGCGCATTTCTTGCTTTTCCAAACAAAAAACAAGATTCTCCTTACCAAGAATTGTAAAATACATCTATTTAGCTAGCATGTTATTTCAGCTTTCTTGTATTGTGGTTATCAAGGCTAATGCAGAATAAATTCTATTCTAATGCAGAATAAATTCTATTCTAATGCAGAATAAATTCTATTCTAATGCAGAATAAATTCTATTCTAATGCAGAATAAATTCTATTCTAATGCAGAAATGTTAAAAGGCAAGTTAAAGTTGGTTTATAATTCATGCTAAATTCACTAAAATAACAAGCAGCCTTTGTTTTACACTTTAATTAATGCAATATTGGTGCTGAAAGCTTTCTGGATTGTTTTTCGTGTTAATAGCTTTGATAATTGAGAATAGAAAACTAGATATTGCAAACATTTCCCAAATACATCATAATATAATTTTTCTAACTTATCTTGAGATTTTAGTAAATTCTGAAAAAAAGTCTCAATCTACTAATGACAGATGATTATTTCCTTCTATGAGAAAAAAAAAATTAAGTGGACTGATGAGTTAACATTATAGATATACAAATCATCAATACATAACCCACTTCCTGAATTTCAACTTCAGTGGAAAATAATCATGAATATTTAATTGATAGTGAATTTGAAAAGGAGGGGAAGGCAAACACTTTATAGAACATGTCAAATCAGTTGCCAGAAATTGACCTTGTCTATTTAGTTCATTCTTATCTCAAATCTAGCATTGAGTCTATCATGTCTGCCTTGTTGTTTTAGACCAGACAAATACATCTAATGAACACCCTCCCTCTGGGACTATTATTTATATCTGTTATTACAAACAAAGTCATGTACAACCAGCATCATGACATCATCGATAAATCATCTTAAAATATAGCTACAATGTATTGGCACAAAATGTTGATAAGTTAGAAATGTTTTTATAAAGAGAGTTATAAAATTAATAAACAATTATTACAAATCAAGAACTAAAATTAATTAGGTCACAAATATTTGTCAAGACAATAATTGGATTATAAAAAAAATCAACCAATCAGAAATCTTTTTCTGAATATCAACCAATCAGAAAACAGCATACATACCATAAGTACATATCAATGTGTTCTTAGAACAGATATACACTTGAGATCCAAACAACACAAACTGACAACTGACTTTACAGAACGTTCTTTTAATAACAGAAATACAGTCCCATACATGTGAGATGTGCTTCTAATAGAACAAATACAGTATTGCTCAGTCTGTTTGCCAAACTTTGGAAGTGCAGTTCCATACATTTGAGTACTAAAGGAGATGTGCTTCTAATAGAACAAATACAGTATTGCTCAGTCTGTTTGCCAAACTTTGGAAGTGCAGTTCCATACATGCGAGTAAAGAAGGAGATGTGCTTCTAATAGAACAAATACAGTATTGCTCAGTCTGTTTGCCAAACTTTGGAAGTGGTTCAATCTATCAGCTGAAAGCACATGGGACAGGAAAAGGAATCCCATCTTTCAAATATTCCAAGGACAGCGAGCAGCTGGACTGAGCTGGGCACATAGCCAGAGAGAATGCGAGAACATCCAATCAAGCAGTACAGACCAGTAGTTATAAACACTGAATAATCTAAACAAAACAGTTTATTTAAAGACAATAATTGTTGAAAATTTCATTTTAACCCTACCAACATCAAAATAAACATACGTTCTTTCTCATGTGCACCACAGGGCTTTGGAACACATTGCTACTTGAACTACGCAAGTCACCAACAATGAACAGTTTCAAGACTCAACTTAAGACTCATCTTTTTAGGAAAGCCTTTAACAACTAGTCATCTCTATGTTACATTACCTTGTTTTGAATACTGGCGCTTTATAAATTAATTATTATTATTACACAAATTTACAATCTTATCAATATTTTTTCGCAATTTGTCGTCAAGACCTATACTTGATGGGAAATTATATCCATCAATAATAATGAAGTCATTGTTGACAAATACATAAACATGTGTAGAAACTAAAGAGAGTATTAGTTGTAGTTGCATGGTACAGTTTAAGTTTCTGTTCTAGATAGAAAGCAATATTTTAATGGACTAAGGGACGACGTCAACAGATCGGTGTGGGTTTGACCTCAAAAAGTTTCCATCCTACAAAAACGATTTTATTTGTAGTTTCTTTTTTTCTATCAAATCATGGACAAAAATAACAGAAAATGAAAACAAACAAAACATCCAAGACGAGAAAATGGTTTGGTCCAAGTGTAAATATGTGTATATATTTGTAAAGCCTTTTTACACCCACCAGACAACCAACCGCTCTGCCATACTACTGTCCGATTATCAATTTGTATTTAATGGTGAATGTAGTCTGACGCCATGACCAATATTTATCAATTAAGTTTTGGTGGGGGGTGGGATATTGGATTTGGGAAAAAACTAAAGAAATTAAGTTTTTTATCCTACATTGAACTTTTGATGTTGTCCCTAACCACTCAACATTTCAATTTAACAATTGGTATTACTGTAATTGATACACCAGTACATGTATGTAAAAGAGCAACTTTGTGTTTGATGAGTTTACTATGTAACCACTTATATAACATGATTATAACACTGTATCTAAATGTAGAATGTAACACAGCAGCATTTTATCTGAGCCCAACTATTGCTCCTCCCACCAATTAATTAACAAGAGATTATCTTTTGCCAGCTTATATGGTTGTGACCGACTATGGAATGCCTAGTTTGTTAGAGTCCAGCTGAAACTGTGCCATTGACCATAGACAATAGGGTCAAATTTTGTATCAAACGAAACAGGTTTACAAGGTCATTTTTGCTGGTTTGAGCCAGATCAAGCTGTTGGGTTCTAATAAAATGTTGTTGTAAACAAACTTGTGTATTCCAGTATAACAGAGTGGGTGTATTCCAGTAATGAAATGATGTAACCATGTATTACAGTTTGGATGTGTTCCTGTGTAACAGCTAGGGTGTATTCCAGTAATGAAGTAATGTAAGCATGTATTACAGTGTGAGTGTGCTCCAGTAATGAAATTATGTAACCATATACAAAAGTGTGGGTGTATTCCAGTAATGAAATTATGTAACCATGTATTACAGTGTGAGTGTGCTTCAGTAATGAAATGATGTAACCATGTATTACAGTGTGAGTGTGTTCCAGTAATGAAATGATGTAACCATGTATTACAGTGTGAGTGTGTTCCAGTAATGAAATGATGTAACCATGTATTACAGTGTGAGTGTGCTTCAGTAATGAAATGATGTAACCATGTATTACAGTGAGTGTGTTCCAGTAATGAAATGATGTAACCATGTATTACAGTGTGAGTGTGCTTCAGTAATGAAATGATGTAACCATGTATTACAGTGTGAGTGTGTTCCAGTAATGAAATGATGTAACCATGTATTACAGTGTGGGTGTATTCCAGTAATGAAATGGTGTAACCATGTATTTTACAGTGCAAGTGTATTCCAGTAATGAAATGATGTAACCATGTATTACAGTGTGGGTGTATTCCAGTAATGAAATGATGTAACTATGTATTACAGTGCAAGTGTATTCCAGTAATGAAATGATGTAATCATGTATTACAGTGTGAGTGTATTGCAGTAATAAAATTATGTAACCATGTATTACAGTGTGGGTGTATTCCAGTAATGAAGTTAAGTAACCATGTATCACAGTGTGGGTGTATTCCAGTAATGAAATAATGTAACCATGTATTACAGTGTTGTGTATTCCAGTAATAAAATTATGTAACCATGTATTACAGTGTTGTGTATTCCAGTAATGAAATTATGTGACCATGTATTAGTGTTGGTATATTCCAGTAATAAAATTATGTAACCATGTATTAGTGTTGTGTATTCCAGTAATGAAATTATGTAACCATGTATTAGTGTTGGTATATTCCAGTAATGAAATGATGTAACCATGTATTACAGTGTGGGTGTATTCTAGTAATGAAATGATGTAACCATGCATTACTGTTTGGATGTGTTCCAGTATTACAGTGTGGGTATGTTCCTGTAATTGATATTTGTGAACAGTCACGCTATAAATTTTCACAATGCTGTGGTTATTTTTCCGCCGTATGTTTTATTGCATCCTGAGTGCTTTAGTTGAGCTCACACTGTTCCGGTCAAGAATGAATCAACTTCACAGTTGAGGATATCAACACATGTCATTTGCAGTTGCACACCACTACTGGTACTCTTTTTGGGTTGGGGTTGGAACAGCTCCAACCTATTATTCTGTAAGGATCAGAACAACCCAAGTCTTTTGTGGTTACATGTGCCGAATGTAACTGGCCATCACTAAACAGCGATTTGCAATATTTATTTTAAGTTTGTGTAGCTTAAAGTTAAACAAAACGATAAGGTATGGTAACCTGCAGCCAGTGTATGACTGAAAGCACGACTAAATCACATGACTATATTTGCACTTTGGTTCATTGACCCTTGTTAGGAGTACTTCTTTGAATACCTAGGCACAATAAAACAATTCTCCCTATCTGGACTCTTCAAGGCAAAGTCTGTAACAGTTTGAGGAGGTTTTGATACAAAGAGTGAAAAAAAAAAAAAAC